ATGTAAAGTACATTTTCTTAGACAGTTTTATGAGCTCTATCTAACCACATATAAATTATTGAGAAAAAATATTTACTGAAATTTTGAATTTTCCCGACCTTACACAGGCATTGCTATACATATTAGGGAAACTAGATGATTTTTTTTTACAATTTTTTTTGTATTAAAAGGATTAATAAACACAGCATTTAACATGTGCATACTTTAATCCTTAGAATAAATATAACATCTGGTCTTTACAGAGGTGTATATATGACAAAATGAAGCATAAAAAAAACTATTACAAAAGTCATCGTCATCGCGTTACAAGCCCGTCATCGCGTTACGTTAATGAAACTGATCACTCTTCAAAACAAGGGGCCTGTTTGGAAATTTATTTAATCTGTTGGATACCTCAAACTCTTAGCTACCTACCGTCTATGGGACATTTCTTTTAATGTAGTATACATCCGCAGAAAAATAAAGAACAACCATGTCACCCTCAACTTTTTGTCCCTTGTTCATCATCGCGTTACGTCACATATTTCTGCTATAATTTTCAAACGGCTTGTTCAAATGAGTTCATATTTTCAGAGGTTTGGGGGAAGACTGAGGCACATCTTCCACCGAAAGCACGAGCCTTCTAGACAACCTCATTGTTGAGAAAAGTTAATAAAACTGTGGACAAAACGTCATCGCGTTACGCTTGGACAAGCCGACATGTATAGTCTTTCAGATGAGGGAAAGGAATTTTCTAATTGGTCATCAATGCTAAAGAAACCCTAGTTTTTCCAGATTTTTGAGATTTTGATGATCTTTAAAATGCAGGCAGGTGTAAGTGTGAGATGATGTTGAGTGTGGGTCTAGTCTTCTCTCGTAGCTACACCCACACCCGTTAAAATCTGGCAATGGGAACCTATCGGATCCGACGAAATCCGATAGAAGAAAGTATCTATAGATATTTTATTTTCCTTTAATTTAATTTATTTAATTTTGATTTTTTTATGGTAGCTGATTCTACTTATTTAATCTTTATTTTACTTATTGTATTTTATTTTAAGTCTTTTTAGACCTGCTCGTTCTATGACCAATCAAATGCCTGGAGGCGATATAGCATACAAAGATCCTTTGTTACTTATTGTATATTATGTAGTTCATTTTGCTTTATTTAAATCAAATTTGACTTAATTTTTATTTTGTTGTTTCTTTACTTTATTTCAATTTCTTTTCTTTTAGACATTGGTGAGAGATAAAAACAGTCAAAGGTGGAGAGATGTTTTTATTTTTTTATCTTTATTTTGTTGTTTGGTATTATGTTTGTTTATAGTTTATTTTTGGTTTACTACGGCATGATCTTAGTCCAGAGTGGGTATAGTTTTTTTTAACTTTCTTCTATCTTATTTTAGTCTTATTCGAATTCAATTAATATTTTTAAATATTTTTTCTTTCATTTTATCTTGTTTGTTGTAGACTTTATTACGGTATAAAATCGTCAATAGTAAGTACAGTTTTTTCTATTATGTTATTTATTTCTATTATATTTTTATTGTTTTTTCTTTTTATGACATTGTATTTGAGTAATTTTATTCATTTTTTTATTTTAGTTTCTTCCTATTGTTCTTTTAATTTTCTTTTACTTTATATTATTTTGTTTCTATTTGAATTTAACTTAATTTCTGTTTTATTCTACTTATTTTTATTATCATTTTGTTTGTTTTATTTTTAGGTATTTTTTCTAATTTACTTTATTGTATTTTTATTTTATCTTTTTAGTTGTAATTAATTGAATTTTTAAAAAATTTTATTGTTTTTTTTAACTTTTATTGTATTTTGTTGTACTTTGTTTGAAATTTTTTTAATCAATAGTTGAAATAAATTATAAGGTGATATAGTTAAATTGAAACTATAACTTGGTATCTCATTATACAGAGAGAGTAGGGAGGGTCAGACAAGGTCTAATGTACAAATATAAATTCAACAGGATTCTATTGGATTTTGAGTGCATCCGACATTTTTCAATTATTGGATCCGACTGTCGGGAGTCGTCAGACCCGACATCCGACAACTTCTTGTTGGAATCCTGTGCCAAGGATTCCGACGAGATCCCATCGGAAATTGTCAGATTCCTGTCGGAAATTGTGGGATCATTTGGGGTATCCGATCGGATCCGACAAGTTCCGAACCTGGGGCTCTTTGACCTGGGAATATTATTATCGATATTTTTAAAGTTATATGATATTTTTCGTCAAGTTCCTTTCTTCACGTATATTGAATCATTTCTTACCATATGTTATATGAAATTAAAATTAAAATGTGTTGTTGATCTAGTTGATATCGTCAACACTTCTATTGTGTTTCATATTCTTAACTTATAAGAATTGTGCTAATCATTTTTTCAATAGAATTATTAAACTAATTGGAAAATTTCAATAGCTGAATTTTATAATCGATGTATAACTAAAATGACAGTAAATACTCCAAATTTCTTCTTACATATACTTGGAAATTATTTATTGTTATTGACTGAATTTAATGAAATACAATGAGTAATTTTTCTTATCAATTAATCAATATTTCTATTGTTTTTCTTCATCTCAAACAATAATATGTCTTTATTTAGTTTTAATTTGTACATTATTAAAATATGTATATTATGATTGTTGTAACATTAGTTTTTGAAATTCATATAGATAATTCATGCTTAAAATTAATAAATAATTTAGATACATTTAATATCGAAAAGAATATTTTCATTGGAATAATCGAAATCTGATCTATTCTCATTTTTATGTGGAACATTTTTCCCTGTTAGCATAGGACCGTTGTTTATTTTTCTCTGTCCATATTTTTGAATTAATGTTTGTTTTATTGGAAAATATTCAAATATAAAAATCAAAAGATTCATTTATTTTTCTTTTTCAAACCATCATATAGAATAAATAATATTCACTAAATATTTTTTATTAATTACTAAGTATTGTTGTTAAAACAGTTTTTTGATTTGTGATAATCTTTTATAATCAATAATCATTTAAAAATATTAAAGACTTGCTTTTACTTTATTTGATGAATTAATGAAAATATACTATTTTGTTAAATATGATTAATGAGCAAATGAGAGAATAACATAATGTATTTGACAAGGGAAAATATTGCGCATGATATGTCATGTTTGTGTTTATATTTTTTATGTGCAAAACATATTTACTCATTTAATCCAAGAAAAAATCCCATAGAAAAAAACAGATAAAGCCCAAGTTTACCTTCAAAATAATATCGTTGTATGTATGTGCATAAATATGCATATTAAATCAATAGAAATGAACAAAAAAGAAACTTCCAGGTGTGTTTTTTGTTTATACGATTGTGCCCACTCGATATGTAATTTTTGGTTACGGATGAGAAATTTTTTATTACTCATATTTGTCATATTACAATAACAATAAGATCGTATATAAAGAGATATAGCCAAATTAGTTTTCATTCATTGATTAAAAACGAGAAATATTCTTCAATACTTTACGTATTTAGTAATACATTAAGTATGTATGGTGGCAACCCTCATATGATTAGAGAATTGGAATCTGATATGTGGATTGAACGAAATATTCCTGGTGGATTAAATAGTAAGGATTATAAAATATTATTGCTAATATTTTGAGAATATAATTTTTTTCTCACTTTTATTCTTATATATATTAGGTGACTACAAAAACTATCCAACAAGGCTTATTTTCATGTTTTGTTGCTATCTTAATCGCAAAAGAGAATTTAAATAGTGATTCGAATCGAGAAAAACATACACAACAAGAATATATAAAAATAAAATAATTGCCAGATTCCAAAAGACTGGATTCTCAGAAAACCAAATCATGAGCTTTTTAGAACCTAGTACACACAAAGATAATTTTGTGCAAACTTCACAAAACGATAGAACAAAGAATTCTTTACAAAAAATAGATGTCTCCGAGTTTTCTATGACCCTTTTTTTGTTGACATACAGTAATCTTTCCAAAGTTTATGAAAGCATTTTTCTATTAATTATTTTCTGTGAAAAATTCAATTCGGGATTTTCAATCAGATTGTTGTATGTCAGTAGAAAAAAGAGTTGTACAGAGCTTGAAAACGCCTTAGTTTGTAGAGAATTGTTTCTTCTATGATATTGCATAGTCTGAAAAAAAACATGTGTTTTCTAGATGTTGAAAAACTGATAGTTCTCTTTTCTGGAAACCTTATCTTTTAGAATTTAGTAATCATTTTATTGTCTTATATTCTTATAGTGTATGTTTTTCTTCATTCAAATCACTATTTGGATTCTTTTTTTGCGATTAATAAAGTGGAAAAAATTTCACAATAAATCTTATTGAATAATTTTGATAGTCACTACATCTATAAATACTTTCGGTTAATTCATTTATAATTTTCAAAGTATTATCTTAATAATAATTTTGTCATGTTCTCTAATAAGCTTTCAATTTTTATTGTAAATCTCAATAGTAATTTCTTTTTTTATTCGAATGAATAATGAAAAATACATAAAAACTATCAACTGAAAAAAAAACAAATTTTCCATAATAACTTCTTTTAATGTAGGTCCATTGGGAGAATATATTGATAATGTAGTAGGTGGAAATCCAAACCCTACCTATGGTCAAATTGTTGGAGATTATCCTGGAGTTGGTGGATTTGGAGGCCATGGATATGGAAGTCATGGACACGGAGGTCATGGACACGGAAGTCATGGACATGGAGGTCATGGATTCGGTGGATTGTCACATGGTCATAGATCTAGTCATTCACATTATTCCCATTATGGTAATTCATATGGTTATTCAAGGTATTGATAAACAATTACATCAATTCAATTTTTTTCGAAATAACAATATATAAATATATATACTAATCAAGAACTTCATGCTTAAATGAATTTTTTTGTTCATGTGAAATAAAGTTTTTTAACCATTGGAAATAAAATATAATGATCAGAACATATTCTTCAATGTTTCGTGTATTTTTGTCAGTTTGTTTGTTCGTGAGATGAAATATGCATTTCATAAAAAAACAAACTCATTATATATTCATTAAAAAACAGCATAATAAATTTTCCCTTGAGAATATCAATACTTAGTTTCGAAATCAATGATCGAAATAAATAGTTGATGCTGAAATAAAATTAAATATCAAATGTTAATAATATCACAAAATAGATTATTTTACCAAAAACTGTAAGCAAGAGAATAAAAATTACTTGTTTTTCGTTTTAATGTTCATTTCAAAATGAAAGAAGGCTGATCATTCTTTGAAAGAATCTTTCTGCTGTTTTCATTATTAGAAAGAGACAAGCAATCTATATATTCCTATATAATACTTAATAACACTAAAAGTTCACAAATCTGATTAACAACCAGTGAAATTTAAAGGAGCACTTAAAGTGCTTTGAAAAAAGTATAAAATTTCAATCATAAGTAGTGCATTGAATTCGTTTACTCAAGATCAATAATTCTACATCAATCCAAAATTTGAATTTTTTTTTGTATTCGAAAGCTATAGATTCAGCACTGGTCGTAACAAATGCTCGAAACAACTCTCCACGGACATCTTCTCAAGTTTGAGCAATTGTATATCTTACTATATCACCAATCGAGTATTCTTCTCACAAACCATGGTGATACAATACATTTTATACTTTGATTACCTTTTTAGTATGTTTGATTAGACTAGATATCCACATTTTAACATTGATGTTAATAGAAATTTTTCTTGTCTGTCTAGTCATCAATAACAGTCTGTTATCTGGAAAACATTGGGATCAAAGTACAAGTAAAAGTATGAGTCGATTTTAAGAAAGGAAATATTTTTCTTTCTCTAGATGAAGTAGACGTTTATCGCTATATTCCTTCAGTTTAATTCAA